TTTGGGCCCTTCTTGTTTTTTTTTTTTTAATTTCTTTTTTAAGGTGGGAAAACTGTGAAACCCACCTTGATTTCCTCCCCCTCTCCCTCCTCCCCACCTTCCCTCGCCCCAAGCCCGGACAAGGAAGGAAGAAGCAGTTGGTTGAATTTCTGGGTAAGTCGGCCGTGTGCTCGGGGCCGAGGGTCGGGCGGCGGCGCGGCCGGCAGGAGGCGAGGCGGGCGGGCGGGCGGGCGCGGGGCCCTCGGCGGAGCCTGCGATTGAATGGAAGCGCTTCTGCCGCTCGGCGGGGGAGGCGGGGAGGCGGCCGCCGAGGGGAGCGAGCGCTTGCTGGGTCATTGGCGTGTGCGGGTGGCGGTGGAGGCAGGCGAGGAGCGTGGTAGCGAGGTAGAGCCCCTGCGCGTGGGTGGAAGGGCTTCCCCAGGCCGGAGGGCCGGGGAGAGTTGGGGTGATCTCAGGAACGTCTCTGTAAATTATTAGGAGTGGAAGTTTCCAGAAATATTGAGTGCAGCAGCATTGAAACGTCCGCCTGCATCACGTGGCCCCCTCGGTGGAGAGCTTGGGATGGGGGAGGGAGGGGCTACCGAGTCCCTTCTTCTGGTGGGGAAACTCGAAAGCCTTATGGGTGGTTTTTTGTTGTTGTTTTGGAGTGGAACAAGAAGTAGGAAAGATGAGTTGATTTTTTTTTTTCTTTTTTTTCGGGGATCTGTAAGTGGGGTAGGGTTTTTTTCGCCCGGGGCTTCTGTGTCTTGTTTGTCGGTGGAATCATTTACTGCTGGCCGTGGACAGTGAATGATGCCCTCCCAGATCCTCCTCCTAGTCTCTTGAATTCGGGGCGGAGGAGAGGAAGTGGTGGTAGTAGAGGATGCACAGATACTCGCCGAGGCGGGACCTCGGATCACTCAGAGGACATGCTGCATGGAGAATGGGGCGGTGAACTTAAGGCGCCGGGTCTGAATGCCTCCTCCGAGTATGGGCGGGGTGAGTGCGTGCTCCTGTGAGCTATAGTTAGAAGTGCTGAGAGCCGTTCGGGTGGGAAGCCAGGGGAGGGCGGGCCCTTCCTAGTGAGGCGTGTTTCTTAGTGAATGAAGCAGGCGATTGCCCACACGCCTAAGTAGCAGTCTTTTGTAGCGTCTTGTTTTCTGACCTAATGTGAAGTTATTACCTCCAAGCAGTGGTTAGGGTTTTCTGGGTTTGGGGTGGCAACTGATAGGTAGTTTGTCGCTGCCTGAAGTGACATTGAAGGTATATCGGTAATCACTTGTAGAGTCACAGAATTGGTGGATGGTTCCCTACTGTACGCAGTCCAGCGAGTGGAATTTGGGATTGGGGAACACCAGCAAGAACGGGCATTTCTGGTGAACACTGCCTCCATAGCTGTTTACTTAGTGCGTGATCTTCGGCTGGTAGTGGAAAGAATGTTTTGGAAGCTGTTTGATTTGGGCTACTGAATGTACTTGGCATTGACCACAAAGCAGCCATTTCTGGGTTATCCATAGTTAAAGAATAGGTGGGTCATTTGGAAGATAATCTAGTTCTGAGGATGGCCAATGACTGTATTTAAGTATATTTAGATTGGACCCCTTCCCCACGAGAGTCCAGCATCTGAACTCCTAAAGATGACCGACTTGAAAGGGAAACTTTAGGGGCGTTTGACTAATCATTATTACATGTAAATTGTGGTAGGTCGAGGAAAATGTTGATTGCAAAAAAAAAATAGGTTTTAAGCTATAAAAGTTATGGCCCTTGAAAGTAGCGGAAACAGCCATTTGTTTATGAAGATTATTTTTTCTTGTATGTTAGTATTTAGATCTTGTTCTTTTTGAGGTACTGTCTCACTGTGTACCCCACTCTGGCCTTGGTGCTTTCTCCTCTTGGGAGGTTACAGGTGTGTTTGCCCATTCAGCTCTTAACAAGGGTTTGGTTTTGTTTGAGCCCTCATGTGGATGAGGCTGCTGGCCTTGGTGTTAATCTGCCTTTCACCTTCCAAGAGCTTGATCACTGGCATCATATGATGCCATGCCAGGCAGTTTCTTTATTTTTAATTAGTGTGTTTTTAAGCATATCTTTACCTATGTGACAGAATGTTTGGACTCTTTATTTATGAATATGAGTACTCTATTTTCTTGTGAATACCTGCGTGACAGAAGAGGGCATCAGATCCCATTATAGATGGGTGCTGGGAATTGAACTCAGGACCTCTCAAAGAGCAGCACTGAACCATCTCTCCAGCCTGACTGAACTCCTGAAAAGTAGTTTGAATGAGGAAACAGGCAGTTCCTGACCTTGTTGCCTCCTCTTGCCTTGGCTATTACAGTAGTATGCTGGACTTTCTTGTAGGCTTGGCCTGATTATTAATTTCTTGAGACAGGGTTTCATACTTCAGGCTGGCCTCAAACTCTGTCTAGGTGAGGATGGTCTTGATCTTCTGATTCTCAAGAGTACTGGGATTACAGATGCACATAACCACCCGTTTCATACCCAGGGCTTCGTGCATGGTAGAATGCTACTGAGCCAAGCCTAAAGTTTGACTAACTGTAACTAATTTATATCTTTGATAAGTATCTTTAATAAAATCTTTGCATTGAAATTGAAGTTGTATCAGCACCACAGATATATGCAATTAAATAATGCAAATGAATAAAATATAGAAACTGCTGGCCCTCCATGTGCTTTGAGCCAGGTCTCACTGTGCAGCCTTGGCTGGGACGAAAGCTGTGGGTGACCACACCTGGCCTTGTTCTTTATTCAGGATCTCTGCAGTCCAAGATGTCCTGGAATTCACATCTCCCCCTTCACCTCCTGGGAGCTGGGATATAGGACTAAACCACCAAGCTCCACTTTGTCCAAGTTTCAAACTGCTATTTTAAAAAAGGATAGGATTGAATGGCTCAGCAGTTCCTACTACTCTTGGTGAGGACCCAGCACCCATTCTGTAACTCCCAACGTCACTCTGGCCTCTGCAGGCACCTGCACTCAGGCACACATACCACACAAACACATACAGAATTAAAAATAAGGTCTTAAAAATTAAAACACAACTTTTTCTTACTTAGTTGTTCAAAATCTGTAGTATGCTATTCATCTCCCAATCCTGGAAGGTTTCTACCATTGCTCTATCTAAAGGTGTCATAGACATACTTAAGGTGTCTTCTTGAAATGATATGCAGAATTTGTTTAAGTTTGACCTAGAAGCTAGATGTGGTGGCTCACTCACATCTGTAGTCACAGTGCCTGGAAGTTGAGGCAGGAGACTTGCCTCATTAAGTGTTCTCAGGCAGCTCTATACTTAGAAGAGCATTCTCCTGCTGAGAATATAATTCCAGGTGGCAAGTTCAAGGGATTCCTATGTAGAGAGTTCAGTGCCAGCTAACAACTCAATGAGTCTCTATCTCAAATTAAAGCCAAGGGGTGGAGCAGTACTCAGTGATAGTGCCCTGTGCTTAGCATTCACAAGGTTTAGCCCATCAGTACCACAAAATAAGGGAAGTTGGCAGAATATCTATGTGCTTGTGCACTCAAGGTAAGTGGTCAGTTTGTGGGGGTCATGTGTCCATTGTGGAAGGGGATCCCTTGGATTGGCTGCAAGTGCATTAGCCACTGAGCCATCTTGCCAGCCCCTGTTGTCCAGAATTGTAATACTTTTTCTGTTGCCTTATTTTTGTTTGGGCCTGCCCTGGAATTGACTGTGTAGACCAGGCTTCACAGAACTTCACCTACCTCTCACCCCCTAGCTTTCATTTCACTACCAAAACCAGACTTTGGTTTTGTTCTTTGTTTATTTGTTTTAAACAAACTCTTACTGTGTAGCTCAGGCTGGTTCCAATGCAGGAAGTGTGACCCTCTGACTTAAA